CACTTCTCGTGGCAGTAGATTTATGTAGCAAGCGAGGAGATTTTTGTGTACCACGTGAGATTGAAACTGGTTTCACAATGGTTGGACTGTTCTTGAGTGAGCGGCCGTAATGCTTCTTGCAGTCATAAAAAGAAAAAAAAAGCTTTTGTCAAAATTARTTAGTCCAGATAAACCCCAGACAAACGTGGGAAAAATTCTTRTTTGAGTCTTATTTGAGAGAGGGGCTAAATAGAGGATTTACGGTATGAGAGTTATAAGTTATAAGTTTATAACTACTATAAGGACTTGATTAGTCTATGCCTGGACCTCAGTTTTCACTGTCACACAGAATGTACTCTTTATGCTCTTTTCATATTCTTTGAGTTTTGGGAATTTGAAAACTGCCTTTAAGTAGTTTTTCATAGTGAAAGATTCAGGATACGGATGAGGACTACATCACGGGCGGAGAGACAGAGAGGTAAAATACAGTAAATGTATGTAAATTGGGCTGTGAGGGGGCTGTAATATGCACTCTACGCCCGTGATATAGCTTTTTTTCAAAACACACCATTTAATCACAAGCCAAGCGCTGTTATTATTTATCTTTTCAGTTTGTTTTATCACAAAACCACCAAACTCATCATTACGAAGCGACGAACAACAAGTYGAAGACAAAGTTGGCAGACATTTTCCCTCGATGATAGACATTCATGTCTGAAGTTAAATCGATGAAAAAAGCTTAAAAATATATCCGCATTTTGTAAAATAGGTTGTAACCAAAGAAAGACTAAAAGTCCAAAGTAGGAAAGATACGATCTGGTTTCTGATATAAATTAGAACATTGGTAAAAAGTGATTGGTCTCCCTGTGGTATCTTCACCTTCGTCGCACCACAGGTAGTCCATAATAGTAAAAAAATAAACGCACACTCTAAATATATGTTTTTGAACAAACATAAAAATCAMTACTCACGTTTTSTGTTTTCACTTAAATAGCATTGATGCGGGGATACTGTACAGAATATCCATCCCTTTGGACCAAACACTTTCTTTTTACCGTTTGCGGTATCCATGTTAATTGTAGGCCGCTATTTTTTCTGTTWAAGCTYGTTATAGTGGCAAGAACACAAGTGAGGAGTTTTCCAACGTCTTTTTCGATTCCTTGTTTGATAAAAAAAAGAAGAAAAGAGATGATAAGTGTTAACAAACAGTTGGGTGTCACCCTGGTTGATTATGCCGACATACCTTCGAAGCCTTCCCTCAAAGAAAACAACAAACGCATCTATCACAACTACTTTTACTATCGATTATCCTAAAGCTATTTTCCACTCCG